CCGTCGGGCAAGCCCGCAGGGTGGAGTTTGGGGCGGGGGGCGTGGGGGGCGGCAGTCGTCCATTTCTCGGCTGGCAGTGCGTCGTTCGCCACCCACCGAGCCACCCCACCCCAACCCGAAGGCCAAAATTTTCCCTCGATTTCCAGTGTGGTGGGGGGGGGGGTCGGGAAACATCCACAAAAACACATGTGGAACCCGTACCCCCCCCTAACCAACCCGAAATTCGGGTCTTCGGGTCAGGTTGGGGTGGTCTGGCAGGTAGTCAGTCATCCCCCCCTCCAATTTCACGGGTTATTCGCCTGTCCCCTGGGGCTCGTTGCAGTGGGCATGGAGCGCCGAGGGGGATCTCCCGAGCAAGAAGAGACGCGCGGGCAGTTTCTCGAGGGGTGTGCCCCCAAGCGGGAGGGGGAGGAGGAGGAGGAGGAGGAGGAGGAGGAGGAGGAGGAGGAGGAGGAGGAGGAGGAGGAGGAGGAGGAGGAGGAGGAGGGAGGAGGAGGAGGGAGGAGGAGGAGGAGGAGGAGGAGGAGGAGGAGGAGGAGGAGGAGGAGGAGGAGGCTCTCTGCGCTCGCGGCGGGGCTCCCGCGCAGGGGCCCGAGGCTTCCGAGCCGGCCCACCCTGGCATCCTCGCGTCGTGGCAGAACCCGGAGATCCACCGTGCTGCAGAAATCGAGGCGCAGGTTTCTCGCAGCTCTCGGCCTGCAGGGGCCCTCGCCGGGCCCCAGGACCGTCCGGAAACGATGCAGGATGAGAAACCGGTCCTCGGGAAGGGGTCGAGACTTCCGGGGACCAGGCATTGAACAAATCACGACATCGGATCTCTGGGGAGGTGAGTGTGAGTGCGTGTGTGTGTGTGTGTGTGTGTGCGTGTGTGTGTGTGTGTGTGCAACTTTTGGTAGGGGCTGGCCGCGCCAGCGCGCTCAGGTGGGCATTCTTCCGCCTCCGAGTGCCCCCCTTCTCCTCCCTCCTCCGCGGCCGCCCGGTCCGTCTTTTCCCCTCTCCGACACGCTGGCCAGTTCGCTTCTCGGTGCCCCCCGTTTAGCTCTATCGCTGGTGCAGCCATGCTGCCTCGCCGCCGACGGACAAAAAGTGCGTGCGCTTGCAACTTTTTCGCCGCCTTGTGCTCTCTGGACCGGGCGGCTCCCAGGGGCGCCTCGTCACCACGGCTGGCTCTGCTCCGATCTCCTGGCCACCATCCACCCAGGAACATTGCTTCGACGGCGGCGAGGCAGAGGCAGTCCAAACCAGCGTGAGGCTAATCGGGGCAACCGAAAGGCGATTTGTCGGGCGTGCAAGAGGAAGGAACGAAGACGAGGGCGGCTGCGCGAGGGGAGGGGGGGGTAGCGCTGAGACGTGGAAGAGTTCCGCGAAGAGCAAGCCGGAGTGGGCAATCCACCCATGAACAGGTGAGGGGGGCCGATGTTTAACCCCTGGACCCTGACACACTCGCGTCCTGAGCGAAGTCAAGATGGTGGGCTTTGCCATTTTTCGATCTCTCGTGGCCGTCGCCGGACCATGGGGCAGTCGAAAGGTGATTCAGGATGAAATGCCGGTCCCCGGGAAGGGTTCCAGACGTCTGGGAGGCACGATTCGCAACAACATACAACGTCGGATGTCTTAACATAACAAGCCCCTCACTCCCATTCGCGCCTCGGGTCCTTGGCGATTTCCGAGAATTGCGGCCATCAGGTACGCAACATGTTTGCTGACGTGGGCCCCGAATGGTGCGGGTGTTTGCTGCTCTCTGGTGGTGCAAGCCGTGTAGTGGATCCTCTGTGGAGCTGTGTGGTGCAGCATATGTGGTGCAGCGTCTGTGGTGCAAGCTGCGTGGCGGAAGCTATGAGGTGCAAGCCAAGCGGAGCAGCCAGCGCACGAGGCCTCTCTCCATACTGGCGCTGCAGCAGGCCCAGCCGCTCGCGCTCGGCGCCCACGGAGCCGGCGCCCTGCGCTGTGAAGGAGGTCTGGTCGCGCAGGGGCGCTGTCTTGCTTCGCTGGTTCGCCTCGGCACGAGCGCGGCGATATGCCAGCCACGTGCACCCATCATAGATCTCAGCAGCCGCATGAACGGTCATGCGTTCTAGATGTCGCGGATGAAGGTCAAGACGGTGGATTGAACCCTGGGCGCTATCTTAGAGCTTGCTTCTTCTCAGACTGCTCGCCTATCTCGACCTGGACTACGACTCAGGAAAACGCTCGGAGTGAAGTCCGTTGTCTTGGCTCAAGGTTTCCTTGATTCGAGGCAGAGGTGCGTGTTTCTTGTTATACCACTGCTCCCGTCCTCCCCTCGTGCGTGGCCGCCCCGCTCACCCCGGGTCATCGCAGGGGGCGCGAGGATCCAGCCGGACCGAAGTGTACGGTCGAGGTCGGTCTGGGGAGGGCACCCTATAGGGTTCTCGGTGCCTGTCGGATGCCCTCGTGCCCCCTCGGGGGAGTGCGCCCTCGAACGACCTCGAGGTCTGGTAGGGGAACAGAAAATGGCATGGACATACGAATTCGGAGGGCC